GGTTGTATCATTTTGCATTCCCACCAGCAGTGCATAAGAGTTCCCATCTCCCCACAGCCCCTCCAACATTTGTTATTTCCAGTGTTTTTGATTCGCGCCAGTAATGCCGGGGTGAGATGGTATCTCATTGTGGTTTTAATTTGCATTTCTCTAATGGTCTCCTAAAATTTTAAAAAATATTTTTCTTACTGTGATAAAAAAGGAATCCTGGTGGTGCAGTGGTTAAAGCGCTCGGCTTATAACTGAAAGGTCAGCAGTTCAAACCCACCAGCCACTCTGCAGGGAGAAAGATGTGGCAGTTTGCTTCCATAAAGATTACAGCCTTGGCCGGGCAACATGGCACTATAGTCAGAAGCACCATGTCATCCCTCCACAGCAAAGATCAGAAAAACTAAGTCAAACAGAGTCACACGTCAATCCTTAAACCCTAAACATCAAATGAAGAGATAAAGAACTCAGCCAAGCACCGAATGGAATAAGAAACTGACCGAGAACAGAGAGTGAGGAGAGATACATGCAGAGGTCCCCTATCAGCTACCGCAACATGGATCTGTGATCTTGGACTCCTACTGGAGATCAGCAAACAGGGGGTGTGAGAAAGCAGCTTCACAGAACTTCCAGCAGGAGACAGAACAACTGGTAGCCAGTGGTATAGGCTTTCCATCCCCCGCCCTTCATCACACCCACTTGGCCTCCTCTGCTTCCTGAGGCCACAGTCTCTTGGCTGGGAAGCACCGTCTTCACCCCGGTGTTGCTTAGATTCCACCTGCCTGCACTGGCCGGCTCCCTGAGTGCCTTTTGTTGGCTGCTGGTGTTGCTTTTTCCTGCTTCTTTACATTTCTTCCTTACCTCTCACCACCTCCCCATCCTTTCTCTCAAATACCTGGCTCCGTGAGCCATCTTTGCTTCTTCCTGAAAGGCTGGGAAACATCGCTTGACTGTGAAACTGCTTCCCAGCCCATGCTGCCATGCTGGTGAGACCCCCGGGGCTTTTTTGTTTGTTTGCTCTGATTTGTTCTGTTTTAATTTGTTTGTTTTCTTTTTCTTTTCTCAGCTTGGGAGCCCCTTCTAGCCGGGCAGTACTGTGCGGCTTGGAAGCTACTCCCTTACTCTGCACAGACACACAGGGACATCCCTGGGGGCATTTCTTTTTTCTTTTTTTTGTTTGTTTTTGTTTTTTTCTGTTTCTTTGTTTTCTTTTCTTCTCTCTCTTATTCCTTTTTGTCTTTCTCCATTTCCAGTTTCTTGATTTATTCATTTTTTTCTTTTACCCTTTTTCTTTTTTTATTTTTGTTTTTCCCCATTTCTCAGTCTGTCATCTCTCCACTCCAGTAGCAAGCTCCCTTAGCACTCTTTTTTGTTTGTCTGTATGTTTTTGGCTCCTGTTCCTCTCTCCTCTCTCTCATCTTTCCCATGCCCATCTTAGCTCCACACATCAGAATCTACCCCCTCCTTCCTGCCTACCTGCACCATGCGCTGAACATCACACTCTCAAGCAGCACAGGCATGGCCTACTGGAACCTGCCCTACACTGATTCCCGATCTGCACCATCAGCCCTGGTACATGCCACAAACAACCCATCCCAGCAACTCCCCGTCAGCTGGACCTGCCCTGCTGTACCATACCTTAGTGACTGACCGTTCCAACTGGAGAAGGAGGTGAAAAGTATCATACCCACAGATGAGCAAACAACAAAGAATGCACAGCCTGCAAATAAAACAAAAAAACAAGACAAAACAAACAAATCTACAATCAATTAA